TCACAGAGCTGTTCAAAGCCCTTGGCAAAGCCTTGACTTAACAAGAGAGCAACATATGTCAAATGACCTCCGTTCAAGGTGCCTACGACATACAGAAGCAGCCCCACTGCAAACAGAGCATGGAGCCAGCTCCTGCCCCGAGCACATGCTGGGCTGCTCTATGAGGCAGATACCTTTTCAATGACACGGTTCCCTCCAAAGCGCGTCACAAACTCAGCAGGCGAGGCGACGGTGAAGTCCCGGTGGAGATCCAGCTTCTTCTGCTCCCGGCCTTTCTTGATCAAGTGCAGTCCTGACATGCTGGGCCTGAATCAGGTATAAAATATCCGTGAAAGCTGAAATCAGTCAGTTCAAGACTAACCCCAGGCTAAGCAAACAGTTCAGAAGGGCAGACCCACAACGATCCAGATCTGGGATTTGGGGGAGGGATGCAATTTCCAAGAAAGCAAAAGGCTGATAAGCTTTATCATACAGTTATACTTCTTGCTGCGCCTCCCAGCCAAGTCTCTCAGAGCAAACATGAGTCCAGTAAGCAATATGATGGCCATGAGGGATGGTGGGGCTATAAAGGATTACTTATTCCTACTGCTGAGAGGTTGACACTGCCAGGAGAGAGAACAGCACCCTGCAACACTGCTTGGAGAGCGCAGGAGAAGACTGTCTCCTCTCGAAACACTGAGGTCAGTAAGTCCAGGTTAACAGACTACAGTGCTTTTCGGCTGAATTCCCTCTGCTGGTGCAAAGTGCACGGGGATCATTAGTGACCACAAATGACCAGGAACTCAGCTTTGCACCACTACTTTCAAAAGCAATGATATTAGGCAGCTTTGCTCCTAGCAAAATGTTCTCTCTCCAATTACTGACAGACAGACAGCTTAAAGTGTGGCTGACAGCACGCCTAAGTCTTCTTGTCGGACCTCAGGGGCATGGATGTCTAAAGTCACCAGAGTTTTTTGGCACGACGCACAGAGAAGGATAAGCGTGTGGGTACAAGCATGGCCAGCTCCTGACAGGGACATGACAAAAGGCAGGCGCCTGTCCCTCCTCATCACCATTTGCAGACTGGGCAATGCTGGTAATGGACCAGCGCCCTGTGGAGATGAAATGCTGTGCTACGCAGCCCCACATCGGACGTCAGACGTGAAGGCATCTGTTCAACACCCGAAATCTCTACCACTACCCAGTGTCGGAGCCAAGGCCTGCTGCGCAGTAAACGAACTTCGTGCGGAGGGAGCCGCTGCTTGGCAGGAGGGGTGTCTGTTGTCAAGCTTGGGTTGATATTAACCTCCATTTTTCAAACGTTATGCTTCAAGCGTCCTCAGGACCCCAGATGCCTCTGTGTACCCACCTTCCTCCCCTGTCCCCAACACAGGCAGCTCTACAACGGGTTTCTGTGGCCCCAAGACAGATTCTGTATTTTACCTGTCTGGCCAGGTCCTTACAGAGGCTGCCCCAGAAGGCAGCATGACCAATGTAGCTTTACAGTACTGGGGAGAGAAAGCCCCATGTAGAGGGCACAGGACACCTCATGGGGCCTCACCTTCTCCCCCATATGAGCAGAAGGGCTTTAAGGGAATGAGGACCAGGGTCATAGCTAGTCAATCCCCAGGTCTATATACCAGTCAGCTCAACCCCCTCCTCCCCTGCCTCTGGGCAGGGATGCAGCTGCCCTCAAGGCCCCTGTAGCTAGAGAAGAAATCCCCACACTCCCACCACCCCCAGACAAGGCTCTGATCATGCAGGATATGCACAGCATCTGGGATGAGATCCTTTCCCAGCAGAAGCCTGATCATGGACCTTTCCCAAGCACAACCAAAGGTGCCAGTTAAAAAGAAAGACCAGCTGAGCCTAGATCAGGGACGAAAGTTTCATAGATTCACAGATTGTAAGGCTGGAAGGGACCTTGGAAGATCAACAGGTCCAGCCCCTATGAGGCCGTTTACAAGTGACACCACGGGTCACACTCATTTCACAAGCTGGAAAGGTGTCTAAAGTTAGAAGTGGCCACAACCCTTTCTGCAACACACCCAAGCGGGCTGTGTTGTGATTCACTCTCTGCCCTGTAACAGGAGTAGGCTGCCACTCGTCACCGGGAGGAGCTCCTCCAGTCATCGGGAACGGGGCTGACTTGGACAGCTGGAGCGAAGTACACGGACCGGCAGTGCAGGGAACTGGCACTGAGCCGCCCTTGCGTTGGCAAAACACCCTGCAAAACACCTCCCCAGCACAGCCTGGCAGCTGTACTTGGTGGACCCTCCCTAATGGTGGTGCTCTCCATGGTGGATGCTACAGGTTGGTTTGCTGCTTGGTTCACACACTTTCTTGTGGCTCTGCACTGCCCCGCGCAGAGGTGTGAAATGACTAGTATTTATACTGCGGTGTTGCCTAGATGTTGCAGTGGAGAAAGGAGCCCTGCTCTGCTGGACATCTGGATACGCTCCAAGCATCCTTTGAGCTTAACTCGGAGTCCTCCCAGATATCCTCCTCTCCTCCTGCCCCCATGCTTTGAAGGAGAAGCCATGTACAAGGAGATTGCCCCCCATTACTCTGTGCTACTGGTTTCCTTCCTCCTCTTTCCCAAACCTTCTCTGTCTTCCTCCAAACGGCTGTTGAAAGTCACCTCTTATACAACCTCCCACCCCCTTTTATTAGGGACCTCGGGAACAGCCTCAGCAACAGCAAGCCATCAAAGTCCCTCACCAAGTGACCCACTGAATCATTACCTACCTCCCACGGGGGAACTAGTTTTCTCAGCTTAGCATATCTATTATATTACCCAGACAGACCTTTACAAACGTCAATGAGCCTTGATGATCCCAGACACGGCCATGTGACACTCAGCTACAACACAACTGTATCTTGACACCCGCAATGTGGTTGGGACCCAAATCTCATATCATGCACGTTGTGTCAAATGCATTTGAGTAGGGTTTTTTCCGTGCTCGAGTTGCATTGATGTAGCATTCTCCCTCTGCCCATCCCGAGCAATCTTGGCATTTCCACGTGTCCTTGAAAAAGATAGGGAAGTTACTCCCACAATCCTAAGGAAATCAGAACCACATCAATTCTTTGGTATCGGCATCACCAATGAAATATATTGAACCTTCAACCAAAGAAAACGCAAGGTTTAGGGTTAATCTGTTCAGCAGTGTTTAATGAGGTTTTATAGCCAGTTCCTAACATGGGTCTCTTATTTTTAACAGCGCTGGTAACAGGCCAGCTGCTATGATACAGCCAACAATACTGAAGCATAAATAATACTCCTGGACTGTTCATAAGTATCATGCAACTTTGGATGGTATATGAAACCATCATGGAAAAATCCTCAACAGTTTTCCTATTAGAAAAGGCCTTCAGGGACACACAATGTGAAATACAGAGAGCTGGCCAAAGCCAGCAGATATTCTGGCTCACCCTCCAAAGCTTGCACGGTGTACTGATATGGATCTGGTCCCAAACACTGGAGCATGGCAAATGAAGTTACAGGTGTCCCTGCTGTATTAACTTGGACTCAAACCACCGCCCTTGCCAGCAAAGGTCAGTAACTGCAGCCTCCGCTGGTTTCGATTCAGTTTACGGCTTGCTGTCCTGTTACCATCCAGAACCTATCGGGAATGGAGCAGGGCACATTACAACACAAAAAAAGACCTCCAATACAGGTGTCCTGTCTCTGTCCACCTAATACCCTCGCCCCCCACCCAGATGGCTTACTGACACACACTATCTTCCTTCAGCTGCTCTGTCCAAGGCTAATGCACCACATGCCGGCCATCCCACCAAGCACAGCTGGCAGACAACATCTGTCCACGTTGTTCTCAGGGATCTGGAGAGACACCGCAAGGGAGGCTGAAGGTGTCAGAGATACAAGACCCTAGGGAGCATCATCTCCAGCCTGCATCCACCTTCCAGGGCAGCGCTTCTCCAACGAGGGTCTGCAGGCCAGGGTAGATGGAGACTTTAAAGAGGATGTGAGAGGAACAAATGAGAAAGCAGGAGGAAAAGGGAAAGGACTTTCTCTTAGGGGGAGATTATGGTATGGCCGTAGGGACACAAAGTACTACCTTATTTATCCTCTGCTCCACAGAGGCATTGAGAACAAAGCAGCGTGACAAGTTATAGAGGGGCGCCAGACCCCAAAACGTTTGAGGACCACCTGTTGTAAAGCATAACTGAGGAGGAACAAGCAAAAGCCTTTCATAACTGGGAGGAGAGAGCCAAGGGAAAGGAGAGAAGGCATTAAACTCCACGATACAGGGGAAGAACTGAAGGCAGAAGAACTCATTACAACAGAAACCCACCTAGCAACACACCCACTCGTTATCATATACGGGACTTGTGTAGCCTTTGACTCCACATAGGAAAGCACACTGCACGCAGATAATAAGCCCTGCTATTTAGCAGGCCTTTTTTATCCCCAGGTTAAGAGAGACCAAGGCACTAAGATGCTACACGACTGACCCCAGGCCAGACAGCACATCAGCAGCAGTGTCAGAGCAGCTGCCGGACCCACGCTCCGGCTTCCAGCCCATGTTGCTTCTCAGCCTTGGGGCCTGCTGCCTTTTTCCCCAGGAGTACAGACCTGCTCCAGCTTCAGGTTGGTGCTCAAGTCTGCATCTGCTCAAAGCTTTAAACATGCACTGGGCTCCAATTTTGCCACACAGGGGTGGGTGCTTATCAAAACTCGGCACACAACCACCAGACAATGCCTGTATCGCAATGAAAAACAGAGGCAGCTTGGATCAGGAAATTACGCACCACAGCAGTGCCCTATCGGTCACGTCAGACCAACAGTTACTTTATTATGGCAGCCCCATGCCCAACCTCATGTCTCTTAACTTCACTCATAAGCACGTTCCAGACTCTCGGATTTAGCCCCAGTACAGTATCAAGCCCCGTATTTCATCATTTCTGCTCAGACCACGTCTTCACAAACTTCATGGGCAGGGAAGGTCCGGGAACAATCGTGACCATCAAGATGGGACGTTCCTCAACTAGTAAGATCAGAAATCAAGTTGTGAGTTGAGCAACAAGGGGTGACTTTCAACAGGTCTCTAAAGCAAACACGCATGGGCATCTCTCCCCCCACTCCCATTTTCACAAAACCCACCATCTCTTTGAGTTCAGCGAGACATGCCAGCTGAAACCCTAGCCAGCAGGTGCCAAATCAGTGCAAAACACTTTTAACTGTGCAACCCACAGAAGAAAAACCACCCGGTTTGTTTTCCAACATCCCAGCTCAGTGAACTCCAATAAAGGGGACGTACAGAATGAGCAGCAGAAAAGCCGGGGTGGAAAAGGGTTTTTTAAAGCTATAACTGCAGGGTAACTCCAGAACTGTGGGTTTGCATATTTAAAAGAAATGACGTTTCAGTGGGAAACAGTTTACAGAGGCAAGAGGAAAAGAAGATAGGAAATGCCACACACTTCACTTCGCAGAGCACAGAGTGAAACTGCAGCGACAACTCGCTGCCTGGCTCTGAAAACTAATGGAGCGGGGAAGCGACATGCCTCGAGAAAGCGGCTGTCTCCATGTCCCTGTGCACTGCTCCGCGTACCAAGTGTTTGCTAACCTTTGCATCTGGAGCAGGATCAGCAGCTCATGCAGTGTGTGGGCAGCAGTGTTTACACGGTGAAGTGACCTTCTGCCACTGCCAGGCCCCAGGAACTGCTCCCTTAACCAAAGCCAAAATTCATGCCAGACCTCCACCCAGAGAGAGGGACCGGGAAATGCCTGCACGCCTAGCACCCCCAACCCTGGAGCCAGCAGCAGGCAGCTACTTTTGGGGCACGGTGAGCAAAAGTTCCAGCTGTTCAGAAAGCAACATCCAGCCATCCTCTCCCCAGACCACTCCAGCCAGGTTTCCCTCGTCTCCTGCACTGACCTTATCAGACCCTGGAACCAGTCGAGGCTGGACCCAGCTCATCCCTCCAGTCTGCATGGGAGCGGGGTGTTCCCCGCAGAGTTCAGCCGGGCCACCGCCTCCTCTTCCTCCTCCATTCCTGTCTCTGTCTTCCCCGCCTCTGTTTCTTCCCCTTCCCCGGGCAGCCACAGTGACAACAGCAAACTCGACAGCATCACTGTGTGGCACATGCCAGAAAATTTACTGAAATGACCTTGGGCCACATGCTCTTAAAGCTACAACCACCCAAAGCAGGTTCCCCCTTAATAGAAGGGGGAGCAGCAGGGACTGCATAATGCACATAAGGAAGTGTGGAAGGGGGTGAATACAGCTCTCCCCTCACTGCACCAGGTTGCACGCTGCTAGGATGCACAAATGGTGTTCAAGTGGCTTTGGACACTTTCCACTGTCCAAACTGTGGACATTTTCCACCAATGCATGGGTCTCCCTTGTGCAGGATGCTGCATAAACAGAGGCATCTATGACCCTGGCCTCTGAACTGCTTGCAGCCTAAGACCTGCCCCCCAGCCAGGGGTAGATAAATTGTGTGTGTGAAAAGTCCTTGTTAATTGTACAACTGCATACACAAATGCTGACCCCCCCACCAGACCAGGACATTTCAGCCGAGCTATGAAATCCTGAGCAAGTTCTTCCCGTGTCCTGCCATGCATGGGGCAGAAGGGGGTAAAGGGTTTGGCAGGATATGCTGTCATGCCTTCTCACATCAACTTGGCTAAGGGGAGACGCTTAATGTGCTGATACCACGGCAAGGAGCATGCACATATCAGCAACGACCAACACGCAGGGCAGAAGGCATGTGAAGGCATGTGATGAATAGGGTTGGGCCAGACCCGGAGCCCTTGCTCAAAATGCCAACCCAAGGACTCTGTGGGAGCCTGTATCAGAGTGTATAGCCCACCTTCGCACAGGTCACCTTCAGCACCATGGCACAGAGCCAGTGTGTCATGGCAGACCCTGCTGCCTGGCCCAGCCTTTGAAGGACAGCAGCTGGCTCAACTCCAGGGTGCCCGGTGTCGGCATTCTGGAAAAGCACATGCTGCACCGTCTCCTTCAACACGCCCCAAGGTCAGCGGACCAGCACACACTGTCTTTAGTGACAGCAGTGGCATGGACCCCACCCTATCCTCTGTCCCCACACCGCCTCTGACATCTCACCCACATTCATCACGCCCCTACCCTAAACACCCCCAGCCCAAAAAGAGACCGTCTACAGAGGCTCTTTTGATTTGCAATCAGACCAGATCCCAGGCAAGGCCCCTCTGTCTTTTTAAGGGTGATACCATGTGGTTTCAAACGGTGCCCATCCACCCCGATGTCCCAGGTGCCTGGAGTGCTGTCAGCTGGTGCAGCAACCCACCCTGCCTTAGCCAAAGGCTCTCTAGAAAGAATCACTGTGCAGATCAGAGCTGGATACAAGTGGCTCACTCTGCCCAGGAAAAGGCTGCAGGTTCAATCACAATTATCTTAGCAATTGCATCCAAGGAGCTCAAAATGATGCCACATTTATTTGATGTTCACAACCCCACCTGCAAGTTCAATCAGGAACCCAGGTACGTGGAGAATAAGCAAAAAGCTTGAGACTATCACAGGGGGCTTGCAACAAAGCCGGGGCCAGAGTTGAAGAATCCAACACAAGCTCTGACCCTGCCTGCTGTGCTTCTGCCCAACTCAATGCCAAGTAACCTTATTGCAAGTCCTGAAAGAGGTGCACTTTGGTCGTAAGGAACGGTGCCTGCTTCAGCATGTTTGTGGACCGTGAATTGAACTCACCAAGTCAAAAAGCAGAGGAATGTTGTCAGGAGCTGCCTTTATTGTGCTGACACGGCAAGTTCAGTGTAAACTTGCTGTAAACTTCTGGATTTAACCTGGCTGCTGGCGTTGTGCAATGAGGGAGAACACAGCACGATTTAATCATGCTGCCCTTCTTGAAACCCTTCTTTCTGCGGGGGGTTAGGAGGGCAATACCAGTTCTAACTATTTCCAAAGGCAACACTGGGGGAGAAGCAGAAAGGACCCACAACCCCTGACTGCGGGTTGAGGATTCATTTAGGCTTTTCACTGAAAACCAGATCCTTAACATCCAATGAGCTCAATCAAGGCCAGACCTTGGGCAATTTAGGCCCAATGCCTAATTAATGCAACTGTACACTAATTAAAAAAAAAGCCGGGGGGGGGTGAGGGGGCAAGCAACCTAATGTCTCACTGAGTAACTAGGTTCATTTGTAAAAGCAGTGGCCCTATCTGTAGGCTTCATCAGAATTTAACATTTATTTTTTGGGTAGAAGCTGCCCGAAAAACATGCCCGTAATTCCCGCCATTATTTCGCAACTAAACTAAAGCATACCCGTCACAGCTGGCAAGCAAAAGCACACAACAACATCCCTTTGCATTGAGCACGAGCTTATATCACCCGCTATTTTCCCAGAGTATTTCCTTGGTGCGCTGGACAGAACTTCATACAGTCACTTCACCTTTTTCTCTGCACAGTAAACCAGTGGCACCTGCTTGGTTGGCCTGAGTCTTTCACCCAGAAGCAGGAGAGAGAAGAGATACGGTTACAAATAGAAAAATGTGATCAGGAAATTGGGGAGATGTCAGGGCAGTGTCAATCATGTTCCCGATGGGGACTTGTCCCCTGCCTGCCTCGTCACAGTCAAGGGATTGAAATGCAGCTTGCAGTATTTTTAATCCAGCTGTGACTTTTCTGTTTGTTACTGAAATTGGGGTGTATTTTCAGCCCTCTAGGAGCTCAGAGCAGGGAGAAACAATTCCAGGCTGCTCTGGAGAATGCAGGACTCACTGCTACCTGGTCCGGCGTGGCCCCAAATTGCAAGAAATAGGAGGCAGGGCTAGAAGGGATCTCAGAAAGTCACCCTGCTCGAGGCAGGATCACCCCTGACTAAACCATCCCAGCCACGTGTCTGTCCAACCTGCTCTTGAAAATTTCCAGAGCTGGAGATTTCACATCCTCTCTAAGCAGCCGGGTCCAATGCTCGACCCTGCTCAGTCACACAATTCCTGCTCATCTCCAACCTCAATTTGCCCTGCTGCAGCTGGAGGCTTCTAGTCCTGTCCCCTGAAGCCACGGAGAAAGGCCCACCTCCATCCTCTCTATAGACACTCTTCAGGTATGTGAAAACTGTTATCAAACCCCCTCCCTTCGATCTTCTCTTATAACCTTAGTTCTTTCAGCTTTTCCTCGTAGAGAAACACACCAAAATTGTAAGAAATCAAGCAGAGAAAGGGGTGGGAAGTCCTGCAGTCTTGAACGGTTAGCTTGGGGATGGCCCGAAACCGCAGCATAATTACGCTGATTAAGCCCTGGAAGCCATTAATCCACGCTTAATAACGCATGGGTTAATGGCTTAATCAGGGTAATTAAGCTGCAGTTTCAGGCCAACTGCCAATTTGTGCAGAGGAGCAGGACTGCAGGGGCCCCTTGGCCAACCAGAGGTGTGGAGGGGTCCCGCCGTGATAAGCCTGTGAAAGTGGTGGCCGGCCCCGGGATCCCCCTGAGACATGGGCCGCCTGTGTCCGAGTTGGGTAGACCCCTACTCATCAGCCTTGCAGCCAGGCCTCAAATCGTTTTTGTTGCTCTCGGCTGGATTCTTTCCAATCCATCCACATCCATCTTGAAGCGTGGAGTCCAGACAGTCCACCAGATGCGAGACTGAATTGCAGTAGGTTTAATATACCAATAAAGATATTCATAGCATTCTGCAGTACTGTAACAGGCAAAAAGGGCCTCTTAGGCCCATCACAGCACCATTCATGCTCACTTGTGATACGACACTGATTGGGAATGACCAACAAGTGCAACTTCACTGAGTAAGGTCCCAGTCTCCCATGTCTGTTTTAGCAACCTGATGCAGCACAGGCTCTGCTTTTAAATCTTTGCTGAGAAGCTGGGAGAGGTTGCTGGGTGCCTGTGGACATCCTTATGGAAGCCCAGTGGCAAGGCCCTGCTGAAACACTGGCGAGTGGATCGCTGGAAAAAGGCCAAGAGATTGAAAAGAAAAGAATACCATCTAAAAAAAGTTATCAATCGGAAAAGACAAAAAAAAGAAAAAAAGCTGGCAGAGACGAGCAGGGTGCGGGATTGTTTTGGCTAACGGGTCGTGCTCTGCACGGTGCATAATCCCCCTGTCCCCCACCACCCCGCATGGACGGCTCTGACCCAGCTGCTCTTTACCTCATGACAGTGGAGAAAGATCTTGACTCCAGGAGGGAAGTGACTGAGAAGGACTCAAAAGAGGAGGAGCTGGCCCCGCTCACCATACTGCCTCTTCTGCTCGTGACCTTGAAGGAGCCAGAGACGACCTCGTCATCGGAGGAGTTATCCTCGAAAGATCCCAGCACGAACTTGGCCATGCCTTGTCTTTTGAGCTGGGCCTGTCTTGGCTCCATCAGCTGCTCCTGCTCGTCCCTGGAGCAGGACCTCGCTGGCTTTAGCTCTTTATTTAAGGAAGGAAGAGACCCGCGGGATACAGGCCTTGGGCCACTGCTGGCTGGAACTGCTAGGCCTGGTGAACCCGAGGGCGAAGGGACACTGGGAGGCTTGTCCTGCAAAGGCCTTTCTGCGGGTTGTTTACTGGCTTCCATGACAATCTCCTCCAAACCCAGCGTGGTCCCAGCAAATGATGGCTGGGTCACTGAGCTCTCCTGCGGTTCACGCGTTGATGCTTTCGACAGCTGCTGCTTGTTTTCAGAGACTGCTCGTGGTTCTGGACTTGGTTGCTCCATCTCTGACCTGATCTGCTTCGGCGGGTGAGAATCTGCCATTTTGGTCCAAATGCACCATATCAAAATCAGCAAGGACAGCAGGGACAGCAGCACCATTCAGAAACCCTGGAAGAAGAAGAGATGAGTGATGACAACTGCATTTAAGCCTGCCTCAGTGTGCTAACGGGTCACCTTGCTCTACCAGAGAGAAATCAGACTTCATCCTACATGCCACTGCTGGAGCAGACAATACTGCGGGACTTCTGTGATCGGGTCTGGTGTGACAGCTGGGAGCGTGATCACAGCAGGAAGGACAGGCCTCCACTTCCCTTTCTCCAAGGCACAGATCTCTGACTTGTGAACACGATTCTCCATCAGCTGTCAGCAGCGGGTGTATTAGAGTAATGGAGCACAGCAATCAGCGGCAGGTCTCTCCTCTCTCACTCACACACAAAGCAAAAGTAGACCATCCTTTAGGAGATGCTCTTCAACTACAGTTCTAACACACACTGTTCAAGTCAGACCGCAGTGACCTGCTTTATATTTTGTGCAACAAACCTTGTTTTGCCTGGTCCGGTATTCGGCACTGCACCGTACTGTAGCTAAACTGGAGATGCTGTTACAGCACGAGCTATTTTTACTCCCTGAAAGCCGAACCCTGGGAAGAGCTAGCTGGTGTTACGCACCGCACTTCTCAATGGTATGCCTAACGCACGTCAACAGTGGGGCTATTTGCATAGGAACATGACATGACTGCAATTTCATGCAAGTTTGAGAACATCACGTGCACTTTCACTTGGACATCCAAAGTCAAGCTAAGTTTATAGAGACTGAAGAGATTTCTCTCCCTCTTATGGACACGGGGTGGATCAACTTTTATTTCTGTGTCTGTCTTCCCCCACAGGCTCCCATACAGGTAGCATGGTGCTCTGGTCTTGCTTCATTTCCCAATGGTAGGCTACTACAAAAGATCACCAGCAAACGTTTCCCATGGCTGCGTTTACAAAGAGTGCTATCCCCCTGGACAGGAAAAAAAAAGAAGACCCCAGAAAATCAGCTCTCTCGCTGCCTTTGAGAGCGGTAATCACTAGAAGGACTTAGCAAATGCCAAACCAGTACCACTACTTCAGTATCAGCAGATGGGGCTGGCATCCTGGTATCTGACACAGGACTGGTCCAAGGTTTTGGTGTTGACTGTTGTCCACCAGTAGGTTCATCAGCCACACACTGTTTGCTTTCCCAAAGGTTAAACCTCTCCCATAGTAAAACACTGCAAATCTCTTTTTAGAGACCTGGTTGAATGCTGCATCCTCCACAGTGGTTTTGGTCCCTGATCCCTTGTGCCCCCTCTACACATTACAGCTATTACATAATCAGCGGGTCAACTGTGCAATGAACTGAGTCCAGCCACCCGTGCAAAGCACCATATACACCATAAAAAGCTAGACCTCGAAAACGTGTGCTAACTTCAGCGCTCCAGCTTTAATATGCACGTGCACCTGCAGCAAGGAATACGTTGACGGCTATCTGCCAGTCCTCCCGCATCCCAAGAAGAAACCCTTACCCTAGAACTGACTTGAGCCCCAGGTTCATCCCCGCAAGCCAGCAGCACAAAGTACAGGAGAGATATCCCCGTCACCCCCATGCAAGCACAGAGCAGGCAAGCAGGGCCCCTGCCGCGCTGGAGCAGAGCCCAGGGTCTCCTGGGCAGCAGCAGCCACATGGGCTGGGGGGATCGCCCTGGGGGTCCTGGGGGATGACTCTAGTACAGGCTTCTAATTCTTCCAGTGGCGCTGCTGACCAGAGCGCTCCCCCCGCTGCTTAGCAGCCTTCTCCCCACCTCCTGACAGCCCGCCCTATGCACGTCTAGCTGTGCAAGAAGTCTGTGTTGCACAAGAAAAGCTGTACCACGATTGGAATAGCGTCTAGACATCCCTCCAGAGCACCAGAAACACCAGGGTGTCTCTCTGGGTGCCCGCGGCTTGAATCCCCCCATGTGTCGACATAGATTGGCTCGTTGTTTGGTGGACGGCCCACTTCCTTCATAAGCTGTGTCAGGGAAGCAGGGGGAGAAAATGAAAGGGAGAAGGAAACCTCAGGCTCCTTGCACTATGGCTGGGAGAAGTGGAGTTGTGCAAACAGGAAGCAAACAACCAGCCGAGAGGATGGCAATCCTTTAAATACACAGCAGCTCTACAAACACTTCCTATCTTCTGTCAAATCCTTGGCTGGGTCACTCTGCTCTTGGTGAGTGCCCAGCTCCTGCAGTATTATTGTTTCACCTTTCACCAGGTAGCAGTCAGTACACAAGTGCTATAAAAAAAAGAAAGCGAGACATTGCGAGCAACCAGGGCCTGACCCATCTGCAGCAGACGCAGACCCCTGCACGTGCCGGGCGCTGGAGCATCGCATCAGCCGTGTTCAGGCAGCACAAAGCTTCCAGCTGCTAGAAGTACTGCAGGCAAAGGAGTCAGTCCGGAGTCAAAGCTAAATTAGACGCCCCCTTCGCTACAAAACTGTGGATCTGAACAACCCAAGAAGGTCAAGGGATACCCCCCACCATCTTTTTACCCTTGCCACCTTCCTCACTCCCTTTTCCAGGCCTTCAAGGGTCCTTCGGCTCCTCCTGGCTCATCCTCCACACAGTGACCCTCCCTCCCGGCTCAGAAATGCCTGGCAAAGAGCACCCCAATTCTAGGGTGCTCCTGAACAGGTCTTTTGGCTGAAGTCGGGCTTCTCGCTGCTCTCCCACTGACCCGACAGGAGTGATCTGCTTCCTGGTGCCAGACCCTCTGTTTGGGACACCAGTGGAGACACGCAGGGGCTGGGAACTTCCCATCTCCATAGGACAGCTCCCTTCAGAAGAGCCAGGGAGGATGAGGCCCTTCCAGTCCGGGCTGTCCTGCTCCACAAAGAAGAGGAAAGAAACAGAGCAGGACTCGGTCTTTCTTTACCCCGTTGCCTTTTACTTTGTACCATTCTAGGCCCTGCTGCTGGGGTTTGATTTCCTCCCCTGGCCCCTCGACTACAAGAGAGAAAACAGCAGCGAGGTGCTATCAGTCTCCTGCCGTTTGGCCAACAAATGACGGCAGCAAACCTGGGTGTTTATTTTTAGAGGACAGACAGATCCTGCAGAAGTATTCTGTGCCCCCACATGCCCTGGCACCGTCCCTTGCGAGGGATCAGCCAACTGGGAAGGAACACCGTATCCCCGGGCATCTGCGGGGTGGGCCGCCCTCCGCTGTGCTTTGCTGTCTGGAACGGAGCAGAAATAAGTAGCAATGGGAGGCAGGGAGATTGCAGGCCCCGATCCCCCAAGCACCAGCGCACGTGCTTAGCTTCTCTGCCAGAGCTTGCGGGAAGGGGAGGATGTGCATCACCCGAACGGCCAAAGGACTCCTGCCGCATCTACATCGAGTGTTGCTGCCCTCGCTAGAGTCCCAGCAGTCCCCAAGTGCAGGAGTCCCGAGGAACGTTTGCCGTCATATCTCAGAGCTCACAACTCAGGTGGGATTTTAGATCCCTGCTGGCTGGTCGGTCGGTGGTTCTTTCACAAGCACCCAGCTTGACTTTTACCACCAGCGGCTTCCCTGCCAGATGCCGGCCTTGCCGCTCTCACCCGGGTCTCAGTTACCCCGAGAAGGCAACATGCTGCCCAGAACGCCGAATCCTTACAACTCTGGGGAAACCAAAGCTGGTGCAGAGTGCAGCCGCTCGGGGGCTGTGAGGGGCATCTTACTGGAAGCCCCTGATCCAGTTTTGCAGGATCCGTGCTGGCTGCGTCTTGCTCTCCAGGTTGACACTCGAGTCTTCAGTACAGCCTGTAAAGCCCTCAAGACCGTGCTATCTATTGGATCTCCCTGCACCCGATTGCACAGCTGGCATCAGCAGTTTGGATAGGGCCCATGGTAAAAGAGGGGGAACATGGCAGGGTCTTGTCCGTCGAGGTGCTGGTAATCTAGATGTCTCCAAACTAGCCCCAATTTGATGGATGTCGGGGAGCACTATAAAAGCCCCCTGTTGAAAGGGGAAAAGGATGTTTTCCCCACAAATTGCAGAGGCAGAAAGAAGTTCCCGCAGAACTAGCGCCCTGAAACTCACCACGGAGAAATCAAACACACGCCTGAGCATTTACAGGATCAAGGAAGGGGAGAAAAATCCAACGCACAGATCACAAACATCATAAAACGGGGGACTACATACAACTGAGACGCGTGACCCAGTCAACACTGCAGTCCTACAACTGAAAACATAGCCAGCTTCTATATATTCAGAGCTGACTTTTAAAAAGCCATTTAGTGAGCATTTCGATCGCTCCACATTTGCTTTTTAGACAGCTTGGATGAGGTAAAAAGCAAGAATCCAGTCTAAGAGGTTTATCATTTATACTGCACTAGAACGACAGTAAGGAAGAACCAGCGGGTCCTGTTCGCAGCTCTCCAGCATTTCAAGCAGCCCATTACCATTGATAAACACGCTATTTCTCTACGCAGATGTGTTGCATCTCTGCATTAGAGGGGCAACAAGTTAATTGCAGATAATCCACTTACCATCTTCTTCGGGCTCTGGGATCTTCTTAAGTGCTCCTTCCTTTTATATCCTCCATAGTTTGCTTTCAGCATTGAAAAGTTCCCAAGGACTAAATATTTAGCACGCCTCAGCCCCGCAGACTGGCGGCTAAGTGTTGACGACTCTGCTTATTGCACTAGGCACGGGTTACGGTGACAAACATCAACTTTAAATCAACCTGCGGTATAAAGAATACTTTATTAGCCTCCAACCTTGGCACCTCTGAATATAGCTAACACCCTTCTAGTCGCCAAGGCAGTTCCTGACTTTCCTAATGGGAGATAACTCTAGGGATTTTACAGTGTTTCCAGGGCCGGCTTGAATCGTAGTGCTATGCTAGCTATCCAAGCAGCTACAGGATACGAGGGACCTGAAAACCTGCAGCCAGGCATCCAAACTGCCTTCGTAGCGAAAACGGTCTCAGCCAGCCCTGAGCAGCCCCTAAGCAAAGCCACATGCACGAAGAAGACAACTTACTTTGAAAGCCCTCCAGTCATCAGGGTGCGCAAGGAGGTGAAGATATCAATTGCCAACTGACTCCCCTGCTTGGCTTCATTTTGCTAAATTCAGGTTATTGTATTTGTGGCACTTAGAGAAAATACCTTCCCGTTATTTTGCCTAGAAACCCTTTACAGCTGCCAAGGTTAACTAAGCAAGCAGATGTGGGGAATGACTCCTTTAGATCAACATTGCAGGGCTGTTGCCCTGCATACAAAAAAGGGATTGCTCGATTTATATGGAACAAAGGTCAGCCCCTGCTCCAGGAGGAACAACTGCGGGTGGCGGAGACAGCCAGGCACACATACCTTCCACTGCAGCCCACGATAAGCCTGGATAATAACCAGAGACTGAGCTAATGTGGAAAGTTTTAATTAAAAAAAACCCAAACAAAACCCTAAAACATTTGTCTTGTGTGGGGAAGAAAACAATACTGGCAGCAATCCAATAAAAAAGCCTGGCAGCATTAAAAAGCGGGTTAAAAATAGGCCATTAAAAAAAATGAAATAAATCAAAGACAACTATTTTTACTTCTTAAGTGTCAGAGGTGCGGTTGCTGGGGCCTGTGGACTATTGCTGCCGGGCTGAGGCAGAAATCAGATCTTACGAGCAGGGTCCGGTTTGCATTCTGCATCTGCGCCCGGAGCGCTGCCGGGAGGGACGGCATGGAAAGGGCAGCTAAGCAACAAAATTATGCAGAGCCACATCACATCAAGAACAAGAGTTTTTTTGCAGGGCTCTTCTCAGTTTTTTCTGTCCACCTTCCCGTGGTATCCAAGCCAGGAGCTCCCAGCTGATGTTTCCCCCCTTATTGATGTCCACGCGTAGATGACATCTTATCTAAGCTTATCGTTCTGGCACGGCGCTGGTCGGTGACTAACTCAGAAACCCTCTTGCACAAGACCCCCTGGCACAAACTGTTGGTTGGGCTTTTGGAGATGAAAGTCTGCCTCCGGGGACTGGTCAACTATGCCACTCTTTAAGGGTCCCAGGCAAGGCTTTCCAGCCTTTCCCAGCACAGTAGCACGTGTTCTCTCTCCCAAAGAGGAGGAAGAAACCCTGGGAACTGAGGTGCCCTTTCTAAAGCAAGGAATAAGTGCTGGCACTTACCACCCTCCGGAGGGGAAAATCCTGCTTCAGATCCTGGGCATGAATTTGCACCCGCCACCCCACTCTTCATTGCAAATCAAACCCCCTGGGGACAAGACTAGAGAAGGGCTCCAAGCTGGACCACGCTTGAGAGGAAAGGCACGCAGCTGCCACCCTCCACCACTGCCGTCCTGCACAAACCTTGAAGAAGGCTGTGGTGTCTGAAGGGGGCAAGGGAGGCGTCCCAGCCCCAGAGGGAGGAAGGACCTGCCTGGCCCCAGCTGGAGGCAGAGCAGGTTGCAAAGCTCGCCTTTGCCCGCTCTGGCTTAAACAAAAAAGCAGGCCCTGCCCTGCCCTGCCCTGCTGCGGCTTACCCAAGCCCTTCTCTCCATGCAGCAACCCCCCTCCTTGCCTTGCTCCCCAGGACCTGCTGCGGGCTGCCCAAGCCCTTCCCTAGGGCAGCCCTTGCGCCCTCTCGCAGCAGGGGCCCGGGGGCCGGCGCGCGCACGTGGCAGGTTCCCGCGCCGCCGTTGCCGTGGGAACGCCGGCCGGGGACCCCCCCCCCCAGCCGCTGCACGGGGGCGGGCTCTAGCCGGAGGCGAGGGCAAGTCTCTGCCTGAGCCACGTGCCCTGCACCAAGGACTCTCAACCGGGGACGCAGCACCCTGGGGTCCTTCCAGGGCGGACAAGCACTGAGAGGTGCAGGCAGGAGCCACAAGATCTCCAGGAGCGGTCTGTAGTGATTTGAACCAGGGCATTACAGCCCCCAGATCCTTTTTACCCATAAGATCAACACACAGGTCTCCCATAGGTGTCTGCACTGATTTAAACCAGTGCAGCAGAGCCTCCAGCCCCTTTGTAGCTACAGAAAAGAACAGAGCAGGGATGGGGGTTTTTTGCCAGCAGCAGATCTCCGGCTTTGTCTTAGGAACCGGCTTGCAAAGCTCCCTAATGGCAGGTGGCACCCGTGAAAAAGATCTAAAAGTGCCCCAGGGTGCTGCGGTGCCCGGGTGAGGACTACTGCTATGTGTCAGTCCAAGATGACGTGGTCCGAGATCTCTGCCACAGAAAGAATTGCTTTTTCTGTAGTCAACCCCCACACCAAGGAAAACTTGGTCCTCTGTTCAGGAGCACTTGAGGGTCTATTGACATTTGACAAAGCAGGTTGGCTGCTTGTGGTAGGCTGGGGCGAGAGCAGGGTTGCAGTTTAGATCATGGATTTGTACAGGGTGGTTTGGACAGGGATGATCCTGCCTCAGGCAGGGGTTGCAGTAGATGGTCTCTGGAGTCTTTCTTCTACCTTGCCTTCTCTAGGACGAGCTGGCTATTGCCAAGGGATGCCCCACGTCTGCTGAGGGGTGCCACCAGTCTGAAACGGTGGAGAGAACCACTGATTTATGGAATACTCTGGGTCCCCTGCTTTACCTGTAGCAGGCTCAGGTGTTAGGTTTTGTTTGGCTACATTTCATAGTAGCCTTGGCAACAAGAGCCAGACTGAAAGACTGTCCATAAAACACAAATAAAAAAGCACAGCATGTGTTGAAAGAACGGGTTAGTAGAAAGGCAAAATGTAACAGAAGACTCTGTACTCAAAACTTGGAAAACAATCATTTTCCTTTAGATGTTTATATTTGTGGTAACAGAATGTATTATTTTTGGTAAGAGGAACTTGACACGGACAAGCTGAATAAAAAATTCCAGTACAAAAAACACAAAGACAGTAGTTAGTCATTTATTTAAAAACAAAATAAAACAAGCTCCCTTTGCACAGTATATACAAAGAAAAACAGAACTTTTTCATTTTTGCTAGTGTTACCTACTAAAACAAAGATTAAAAAATAGCTTTTTATAGAGGGACTAAAATATACTAGTATGGCATCAAAAGAAGTCATGCAGCTCCACAGAAAGGCAAAAACAACTCTTTCTTCTAATTAATGAGAGCGAACAGAGGTATTACTGACCATTCAGCAATACTGGAAACCTGAGAATCAATGTTTTTACTATTGACACAAGTGAAAGTTCTGCCGTTTGCTCTGCAAGAGCAGAATCAGTCGCCTCAATAGATCTTCAGGAAGCGTTTGCTGCATCAGTTCATGCAGGCATTTATGTGATGAAGTAAGACTTCAATAATCTGCTCTGAACGAGCTGACCCACCCTTCTGCAGATTTTAGCGAAGCAAGCCTTCTCCCACATTGAAAACAACTCAAATTTTAATTGAGCAAGATCTGATGGCTCTCAGTCCATACATGCAAACCCATTTCTCAAACCAGCAAGATGTTGAACGACGAGACTTTGAACAAATTCCCACCACCCTTTGTAACATGCTACCGAATAGCAGGTTCCCCTAAAACCTCACACTATTTGAGTAAAAAACTGGCATTGCTGCTGGAAGAGAGGCAAACATATGAAAGAAAGTAGAAAAGCAAAACACAGAAAACACTTGTGCTCTTTCAGGACCAGGCAGGATTTTTTTTGACTATGCAAAAGCTAGGCCCAAATTTATATGCAGGGAGTTCTAGTTTTATTGCAAATTAAGCAGGTCTTCTCATTCCCTTCCCCCAGCTGTGGCCTAAAAGGGGTTGCAACTCTCTTACTAAATCATTCTGTAGTTCAGTCATTGTCACCAAGTGTGTACACAGGTGATGAACACACTGACTGATCTCAGAATATTCACCAGTCAAGGTTTTGTGGCAATTAAAAGGATGCAACTGTTTAATATTCCAAGGGAAATTGACACGTGCACTCTGCACATAATCAAACATTTGAATAGGTGGGGGGGGGTTTATTTCCCCGAAGGGACACAGATTCCTCACGGAATTCAGACGTATACTTAAAAACATCACAGATCCTGTCAAACTTCCTGAGAAAGAATAAATGTTATCACTTTCAAGATGTCAGCATATTTCCAATCAGAAGAAACAGATTATAGCAACAGCAACAACAACGCTTATTTTCAGCTTCTCCTCCTAAAAAAGGGTGCTTCTCTCCCTCTCAAAACCTAAAATATGGATTTCCAAACAGGGAAGCAAGGAAAAATATTGCTGAGATGGCTTTCACCTGCAGGAGTCAAAAAGCTGATGGGTTTAAACATACAAGAATCCCAACCAGTTCATAAAAAAAAAAAAAAAGCCTGAATACAGCCCTATTAGGTCAATGAGCCACTATTAACACACCCTTCGGTGTTTTCCTGGTTCAAGACTGGATTCAGATTTCTGCTAAACAGCAGTCCAAAAATTGGTGCATCACACTGAATTCAAGTTTGCTCACTCATACAGTACATAAAAATAGATATTAAAGAACTGGAACTTCTTCACATTAGGCCCTTCCGTTTATCCAGCAGAGCAGCATCCAAAAAGAGATTCTCAGGATAGAATGACCCTAGAAAACAGGTACTGACTGACATCACCAAGCCTCCCTTCCCCCAAGTTCACGCTTGCAACTTAGAGCGCTCGCCAGTCAATAGGCTTCTTGCCAGACATCTTCAGCAATTCATTTGTCTTGGAGAAGTGACGGCAGCCGAAGAAGCCTCTGTACACAGACAGCGGAGAGGGGTGGGCAGTCTGCAGGATGTGGTGGCGTTTCTGGAAGAGGTTGGAGATGGTACAAAACTGTTAAATCAGGCACATTCATCTTTGCAGCTTTTGGATGCAGGCTGCCTCACTGTGTTGTTACCAAAGATGGACACTTTCATGTTTGCCCTAAAAACTAGGCTCTCTGTGCTCAGTAAGCAACTGCATTTCTAATTACTATAATACGGGTGAGATAAGATAGACATCAGGATGCAGAGGCTCTTTATAGAGTAATATATTACTTTCCCTTCCTTCCAAGGCTCTCTTAGAACAGAGAAAGGCCACAGAATTGGTCATGCTCGGCCTGTCTCAAGATCCTAGATGTCTATGCACTTAATTTTGTAATATGCTGCAGCAGGCTCTATTTTTCCCCCCATTTAAGGGACCAAAAGTCCTACATGTAGCGTGTTCTACAGAAACACCCTTTCCCCTAATGAAAAAAGACCAGAGCATTAAGTCATACCCTGTCAATGGAGCTCCCTTTCTTCTGTGCGTAAGATCCCCACAGCATGAAGACAAGTCCATCCAAATTCTCGTTCAGCCAGGACACCACTGCATCAGTGAACTGCTCCCAGCCCCTCTCCCTATGGGAAGTAGCTTGGTGTGCTCGGACCGTGAGGACAGCATTGAGCAGAAGTACCCCTACTCGCAAAGGGGATAGCCGCATGTTAACACAGGCACAAAGAAAGCACAGAAAAGTTAACCCAGTTTTAATCTCTCGTCCTGTTTGTCTCCTGATAAGAAAGTCACTTGAATGTTTTTGGGTTTTTTTAATGTTATTCTCAAGGGGACAGGTAAATGGCAGATACCAAGATGGAGTTCAAACAATCCATTTGCAGAAGAAAGAAAACAACAGGCTGTGGAGAAATTAATTTAAAGAAATAGGCACCTGATGTAAAGAGCTTCTAGATAGCAAGCCTACATAAGTAAATCTGTCAAGAGGTTGCTGAGTCAATACAATTAATACTATGTGGAGATCACATTAAGTCCAAGGCAAAAATTACCGTCCAGAGCCATCGGTGCATTGTAACATGATGAGTCATTACAATTAAGCTGTATGCTTTTTTAATGAATGGCTTTAGCCTTACAAAATGTATGAACCTTCAGGCATGTCAGCTCATACTCATCATTATACGTGGAAAAAAAAAAATAAACACCAATTCACTGACCAATCAGAACTATTCACCCAAATAAGGAAAATTTTGCCAGGCTTGTAGGAGAATGCATCTATTTATAGTATCTTAAGAATACAAAAAATAAGAGACCTTTCAGTTTAAGAAAGGATCAACACTGTGTGTATGCTACAGAGAGAGAAAATAGACGGGCAATTTCACAGACTTATGATTAATTAAGAACGTGCTTAGGAACATGCTCAATATTTACATGCTTCAGTTCACTGCTCTTTAACCCTTTTATGAATATTAAAAGGCCATGTTCAGTTGTGCTTTTTACACAGACCTGAGTCAAGCACTTTGGAAAACATCAGCATCTCTATTTCAACCACCATGGCTGCAACCACCCACTCACTGAAGACAAGAGATTCCCCATCTTGCAAGAATCAGAGGGGCAAAATTGATGGATTACCTTGCTTGGCCCATCCAGTTAGGTCCCCATGGCCGGGATGGGCGAAGTCCTCAATATCAGTTGAAAGCTCCTTGTAAATATTTTCCAAACTGCGAAAACAAAAACCATTGGAAAAAAAAAGTGATGATTTCCACAAGAAAAAAATTCTCTGAAAGATGCTAAAACATTAGGTTGTTTTTCTACACGTCCCAACTGTAACATACTGATCTTAGCACCCGGGACGTTTCTCCCAGCTCCCATTTAGCAAAAAGTTAAATAGTCCTCAGGATCTAGCCTACACTTCAGACAATCCAAAGTCCCTGATGTCGCAAACCTTTATGCAAGTACCAAACTAAGCTTGCGACTGCTCCGGCTCAAGCCAATAGAAACGTGCGGAGCACAGGCTTGCAGGTCTGGCACTAAACAGATTCCATGGTCCGACTGCATTCTGCGAGAACAGGGATGGAGATTAAGCAAATTTGAATTCAAGCAGGTGCAGTTAAAAAAAAACATGTACACATCAAGATAACAGCTGTACTTCCATGGGTCAAACTACAGGTTTTTTCTTCTCCAGCATCCCCATATTATAACTGTATCTGCATGGACAAAACCCACTGTTGCCAGATTAGACTTGGGTCTTTGGAATATGCAGTCCATTACAAAGATCCTATCACAGCAAGTCACATATTAAATTACCTCAATGGCAGTCAAAGACACAAAACCTTGACCAGTTTGCGATTATGGCTATAATAACCTAGCTCAGCAGCAAGGGTGATGTTCAGGATAGAAAAAGCATAATCCTACCTGGGTGGAGGTGGAACAGGCTTCTGAACACTAAAGCACAGTCCATGAGCTTGGTTGGGTCCATGGTAAGGATCTTGCCCCAAGATGACAACTTTTACCTGAACACAGACACTAGTTAGCACTGAGAACGCAGCAGCATTTCTTCAATACCCGATTTCATAACGATGTCCAAAGTGTACAGTATGTCAGGACAGAATTACTGTAATCTAGAGCAAGCAGAACTACAGATAACTAAACAAACAGGCGTCTCAAATCCCCCTAACACCAGAAGTTATAGCACTGCCTGCCTGATGAATAAGTTTTGAAGTAAGTTTATTTTTGAAGCTTGAAGAAGCAGTATCACCAAAAATTTCTATGACAAACATGGAGATGAGTCAACAGTTCAGTGATCTTATAAGATTTCCATATTTTAAGGTTTGATTAACACTTTTTTCAGACAGATAAATTTATTCCAGATGATGTGCCAGCTGCTAACTAGCAGCTCAGGCATTTAGGAAGGTACTACCCTAAAATCTTGCACCTGAACCTTCACAGTTGAATTTGTCAGGTGCATGATCTTAAAAAGCAAAAATACACAAAGTCTGTGAGTGCTACATCTGAAAGTGTGGGGGGCAGGTCAAGAAACACAGGTGAAGAGGCCAGTGACAGCACTATCTTGCCACAAGCCACAAACCCCCATTTCAATATCTGAGGAAGGGAAACAGGCTGAGTCCTACAGATGGGACAGGAGATAAAGCAATGTTGGCATCATCAGGAAATTGGATTTAAGAGAAGAGCTGCTTAACCTGTAGGCCACATCCAGCCCATAAGGCCATGTCATTTAGGCCATGGGTTTCCTTGCAGGTCTGAAAATTTGGCAATGGGGGAACAGTGGCAGCATTAACTGCAGCTCCCCTTGCCACCACATTTCCAGACCCGTGAGGAGTCTTGCAGGTTGGATGACAAAGCCTTGCAGGCTAGATCATGCCAGCGTAGGGCCAGATCCAGGCACAGCGTTGGGCCAACATGCAGTCAGGCCAGCAGGCCTAATAATCACACCCATGCACCAATCCTAGGTACCAAATCCAGCGCAGGGGTTAGCCTCACACCACTCATCCAGGCTGGATCAGAACATGGCAGCTGGGCCTAGCACCGTGCCTGAACCTTGGACGTTTAGCCCCGCCTCCCCTGCTGCGCTCACGTCTTTGATGTCGCACATCTGCGTCCAAGTGAAGACCTGATCTGGGGGCGGGTAAACCGTGTGACGCTGCCGCTCCTCTGCCACAAATGCCATGAGCTGGAGAGAGAAAAAGGAAGTGAAGAAGTTACGGGCGGTTCAGTGGCAGGCAACAAAGATGATAAAGGGCTATTCAGAGATTGTACGGGCTGGGCGGGACCTTGCAAGGTCATCCGGTCCAGCCCCCTGCACCAGGCAGGAAAGACAACTGGGGTCAGGCTTGGAAAACAAGTCACATGAGGACAGACCGAAGGAGCTGGGCATGTTCAGCTCGCCGGAAAAAGCTTAAAAAAGGACGCGGTAGCAGTCTTCAAATACATAAAGGGCTGCCATAGAGAAGAGGGAAAGCACCTGCTCTCTCTTGCTGCAGAGAGCAAGACAAGCACCACCCGACACTGCAGTAAAATAAGCCTGGATGGGCCACCCAGAAGAACTTCTTCACTGTGAAGAGCCATGAGGCAGAGAACCAGACGCCCTGGGAGAAACTGTGGACTCTCCGTCACTGGAGACGTTCAAGAGGAGACTGGGAGGCCGCTGATCAAAGACGATTAAGGCATAGCAACGTGACCGGGGAGCCTGGTTTGCTCCGATTTAAAAAAAATCTCCAATTTTCGGTAGCCCCAAATCCACATATTTCCACGATTAAAACGAAACCCCGACATATACATATCTATATATTAGTAGCATTTCATTTAAAACACAAAAAAACATGAATTTGGAGTCACTTTAACTGAAAATTGGGGATTTTTTTTTTAAATCAGAAAAAAACCCAGGATCCCTGGGGTGAGGGCTGTATTTTTACTATGGGGATTTCCTCCCTTCCTGCTACATGTCACTGGGGCTTTTCAGCCTCTCTCAGAGGTGCAGGGCAGGCCTGGCTGGGCACTGATGGGGCTGGACCAATACTCCTGCTGGGAGGATCCTGGCTAGAGGGTCTCGCCCATGTGCTCGGGGTCAGACCGATGTTACACTTGGGGTCTGGGAGGAGTTTCAGCCCCTGCTCAGATCAGTGCAGACTGGGGGGTTGCGAGGAGCTCAGACCGGGGCTGGCGGCTGACCTGGGCGAAGTAGGGCCGGGCGAACTCCGCCGCCAGCGGCCGCCTCCAGCTGTCCGCGAAGCCCGGGGGCGCGGTGCGGGCCGCCAGCCGCTGCAGAGCCGCTTCCTTGTTCCTGCGGATCCGCTCCAGCTGCTCCGGGCTCAGCGGTGGGCAGCGCGGCCAGGCCGCGCCCGAGTCGTCCCCCGCCGACCGCGGCCGCTTGACCGAGCCACCCTGCGGGACAGCGAGCAGCCGGTGAGCGGCCAGACAGCGGCGCAGGACAGCCACCAGCGCCATGGCGGGACCCGGGCACGCACGCGGCCATTTCGCGGCAAACAGCCGCTTCCACCCCCACGTGACACCGCCGCGCCCTGCCCAT